TTGACCGGGGCGACGTAGGGACGCCGTTAGCCGATAGCGGTGTCTGTAATAACTCACTAAATGGCCCGTGAAAAAAATATTTTTTCCAGCGGATGTCTTAGTTACAACATGACTGAGCTAACTGGAGTAGTTTCATGTCGTATCCAACAACGGGAGGGTTTTAACAGATGACATCCTGATGTTAGCCTGCTGTTAGCTGTCCCTGTCAGCGGCAGCCACTGATGCTTTCTAGACATCTTGATTTCCCAAAACTGAATAAATACCACACACAGCAACACAAAACTGCTTTGCTAGCTCAATCATGTTGTAACTAAGATATCCGCTGGAAAGAATATTTTTTTCACGGACCATTTAGTGAGGTTTTTTTACATGGTGGCGAAAGCTATATGAACGAGCTAACACTCGTCTGCTGAGTTTTAAAAATGCCGGCTATTTTGTTGCTTTCTGTTGACGTCACATCCCTCCTTGAGTATATCCAATCAGCACCAAGTAATCCCCAAGCCCCAGCCGGGGGTCTTTCGGGGCCGTTCTGAGTACCTACCCTGAGGCAGGAACTTGTTTAGCCCCCGTAAAAGTTCCGGAACTCTGTCCTTCAGGGGTGGTTCCTGCGGTGGAGACACGCACCAACGGCCCCAGCACCGTAAAATTACCCCGAAGTTCCTGCGGTGGAAACGGGCCTATAAACTTTGCTCCAGAAGCTTCTTTAATCAAAATGTCATTGAGAGTTGAAATGACACAAAAAATAATGTTCCATAAAGTTTGGCAGAATATGACACAAAACTTTAAAACTTATACTTCCATACTTTAAGGTTTTGAATGCAGGAGTTTTTGTTGTGCAATATTTTCATAGTGTGGAATGAGTTCTTTTCCCACAGTAAATTATCTATGTTCTTTTTCCACCACTGGAGAAGTGTTGTTTAAATATAAAGTATTGTTACGAACAGGTTATTTAGTTTGACTTTGCTTATGCATGTGTAACTTTAGTGCAGGTGTTGATGACATAAAATTCTGGCGAATTAGTGTGAGGTCTGAACAGCTGTCACCTCATTACTATTGAACCAGTACAGATGGTTTAACACACCATGATGCAACAAGGTCATCAGTGTATTTAATACATCTATGAACACGAACAGGGGGTTGTGATCGGTGTGAAAGTTGACTCTCAATACAGTTTTTTTTTTTTTCCTTTTAAAGGAATAGTTGAACTGACGCCACACTTAATCGTGTTAGATTTCTATTTGTGTCTGGTTTAAATAAACAAGATTTAACCTGTTGTAGTAACCCCTAGAGGGGTTGGTTTGCATATTAATAAACTTTGGCACTGAGCCAGGCTAGCTGTTTGCACCAGCCACCAGTCTTTACACTAAGCCAGGCTAACCATCACCCAACATCAGCTAAATGCACACATGACCATCTAACTCTTGGAAAGAAAACACCAACATTTTGAATTACTACTTGAAATGATCAGGACAGATGAACTTTAATGAAGAGCTCTTAATAAAGACTAGAAATTGTTAAACTTCTGTGTGCGTTTCCTCCTCTGCAGGAACTGAAGGAAGCCACCGCCGTGAAGCAGATAATGTACTGAACATTGTATCCACATCTCCAATGATGGAAGTGCAATAATCAACTATTTCCAAAACCTCTGGGATCATGTCTACATTCCAATGTACATAAATAAACTAATAAAAAGATATATATTTATTGACGCCACTGCAGTTAATGCTGTCTGTCGTCTTTTCTTTCAATACCAGTGACAATATTTGCACATTACTGAAAGTTATTAGATGTATTCTAATCTTTCTATGATTCATTCTGTCAACATTTGAGGATTACTTTGTTTATTTAGTTTAAATTTAGTGACGTCACAGGTCAACTCCAGGTTCAGTAAAAGTGCAAGCTGTTATTACCTGACTTTAGTTATTTAGATCACATTGTTGAGGTTTATTAAAATTCATCTGTGTTACAAAAAAAATAAATGTTTTGGGAGGTTTTTAAATTTACAGTATAGAGCTTCACTTTGATGCCAGGAATCGTTTTGCAAGACCAGATGTTGGACAGTTATGTTGCTGTCGTATGATGTCATCATTTTACAGTCAACAGAGTGAAAACTGCTCAGTTTAACTTGAATGGTAATGTGTTCATGGACTGTTAAAAGTGTTGTCAAGACATACGCATTTTCCACTGAATAACTAAATGTAATACTAAAAACCCACAAGTGAAAACTGGACCGTGTCCTGAATGTGACCCAGTCTGATTGCGACATGTGCCAGCTCTGTGTCCCCATCTCCTCTCAGACGTCCACTAAATGAAAGCAGATGGAGAACAGTTTCCACTGAGTGTTAATGTGGTCGCTCTGCAGCATTTGGCAGCTCACATCATATGCAGGCTGGTGCCAGCTGTGTTGGCGCTCAGTGAACTGACTAATGAGGAGTTCCTGAATATTAACAGGCAGCGAGCGTTGTTTGGAAGATCCCTCACACAGGGGAGGCCTTGTTCCCTCAATTCTGAGGAGCTCTGGTTGAAAAACAGTGGATGCTGCAGACAAGAAAGTCTGCTGAATGCTGCCTCTGTGTGAGCTGACATACAGCCACAATGAGAAGATAAACTGCTCTAAACTACAACTCATAATGTGATTATCGATAGAGGCCTACAGTGAAATCTTGTCCTCTCTCCACAGGAAGTTCAGAGGTCAGTCAGATACATGAGTTTTGTTCACAGGAACTTTAACCCAGACATTCTGAATAATAAGTATTTGAGTGTTTTTTCTCTCTCACAGCAGTAAGTTTCATTTGAAATTATCTTCACACCAAGTCTGAAATTAGCATGCAGTTACAGTGCAACAGTTATTGCTCAGGGTGTCTACAGTATCAGACACTCTAATTAAATGCTTTTTAAGACCTTTTCAAGCCAAATTTAGCTAAGCACAAAGGTAAGGAGTATAAATGTGGTCCTGTGCATAGGAAGTTTTATGTAGGAATATTGTTATCAGAGTGAGTTAGGTTAATCTACATTTTGCTAATAGGTAGGTGCAAGTATAAAGGAAAAATAAAGTATCAGGTTCAGTGGTAGATTTAAAAAATTGTGAGAAAAAGTGGACTCTCATGGAGAAAGGCTTGACTTATTCTGACAAAAATTAAAAGATGGATAAATGAAATTAGATCAAATTAAGTCAATTAGGAGCTCACAAATCCAAATGTAAGACTATTTAATGACTTAATGACCTAATATTTCTAAAATTGGATTAGAGACTTGTTAAGCAGTGTAAAGGGAAGCCAGAGATATTGTACATAATTCATTGGTTTATCTTTACGAATATATCTATCAGTTACCTGCTAAATTAATAGGACTCAAACCATGCTTCTTTTAATCTCTAAAACAGATAACTGCACATGTATCCAGGATCTGGGAGCAACGGGATGAGTTTGTAGTCTCACCAACGTCATTCCGTGTGGAGAGGTGGAACGTATTGACTGAATTGCAGTCTCATGACCCAATGGCTATTGTGTGATGATGATTTAGCTTTTTTTCTGTTTTTTTTTTTCTTTCTTTCATTAAAGGAAATGGGGGTATCGGAGGATAACAGCTAGCCGGAATAACAGCTACACTTGAAATGCACGGAACCCACATTTTGAAAATGTAACAAAACTCTGCAAATGCATTTCAAAAATGTCAGAACAGCTTGTCCATCGTAAGCCGCGGCATGCAAAATTGACTTGAAAAGATGTAATTTGCTCCACTTTTATAGCATAATTTCTCGCCGTGGTCAGTTAGCCTGCCCTGCAGACGTGCTGTGTTTACATGGCAACTTGCGTGAGACTTGAGAACTAGCACCACCACTAGCCATCAGCTAGTCTCCCTTGAGTTGCCATGTAAACACAGCATTCCAACTAGCTGTTGTCCTCTGATACCCCGAACGAGTTTTGTGGATTGAAAAACTACACTGGACTTTTTGTCAGCATGAGGGTTAGTAATTACTGTCTGTATTTTCATTCTAAAGTGGTAATTTCCTTTAATTTATCTGCATTCTTATTTGCCGAAATCACCGCTGCACAGAAGAGAAAGTCTTGTCCAGGATATCTGCTTGCTACGCTAGATCTCCTGAAATACTATCACCCCTTGAAAGTGCACTGGACTTAGTAGACATGTAGCTGCAGCCACACTTGATTTGTAGCATACACAATACACCCCTACAAAACGTGCCCAGCACTAGTACAAATCAAACTCACCAATGCCATGGTTATTTGAACCCTGCCCTTGAACATTTCATAGCTAGCTAACTGCTAACTAACTCTTAAGGGCTTCCACCTGCAGCTGATCATGTAGGTATGGTAGACGAGTCATGTAGCTGGTGGACAGGTCAAGTAGCTGCTCAAGCCACAGCTGTACATACTTGGGATTTCAAAGCCAGTTTGACATAGTGGTCAACCTATGTGTCTACAACTTTTGGCTTTGCATGTGTGACCCTGTGGCCCGAACAGACTTCCTAGAGACTGACATTGGGGAAGAGACGTCTATAAATCAGCAGATACGTTTTTTGAGCATCACAACCTCCCCACAAAACTGACTGGTTTTCGGAATCGGAATTTGATCCTTTCAATTCGATTACATTTGTAAAGTCTAGAAGAGTTGCACAATTTAATAATTTTATCCTTATTCAAGTTAGCCAAGCACTAAAGTTGAAGTCAGCCACTCGGCTGGCAGAAGTCAGTGCACCTGCTCTGTGATCCCAATGATGCGGATGATCTGGGTAATTTTATACCCGTCAAGTCAAACTTTTTTGCCTTCATGTGCCACTGAACAACTTTCATAGGAATAAATGCTGTACCAAGTTCTTTTTGTTCTGTCATTGCACCCAGACGCTTATTGTCGCCAGGGGAGAGCTGATGGGTTCTGAGACTGTACTTCACTGAAAGCCATAATACCTTTGTGATGCAACAATGTTTCACGCTGCCATTAAAGAAACATAACTAGTAAAATTTAAAATCTGAGACCATAAGTTCTTGTGTAAAGAGTGTTTTTATTTCATGTTTCTGAAAAGACATTTGAGGATTTCCCGTTTAACTCAAAACATTCTGTCTCCTTGAAGTTGTCTCTAGTGGTCGTTACAGGAACTGCAGCTTTTACGGCACCTTAGCTGCGGTTTCATCCAAAGTTGGTCCACATGGAAATGGGCTTACCTTTTATTTTACAATCATTGTAAAACACACTTAAAGGTAAAATTAAAATCATATTTTCGTGAAGTAGTTAAAATGACATCCTTCAGTCTGGTTAGTGCTTCAAGTTCTCATGCAGTTTGGTTAGAAACCTTTTTCAGTCCTGTGTTTCTGGGTAAAGTCAGTCTCACACACTCCCCCACAGAGTCCATAGCAGCCCCAGTGAAACCAGTAAAACCATTGAAGCGGTTTGTCTAGAAGCTGAGTTGTAGATCTTGATGCGTCCTTCAACAGAAGGATAAACTGTCTTTTTCTGCATGATGTAGTTGGACACGACTGAAATGTCCAAATTCCCTGGAAGGAAATAAAAGGTAAAATAAAGTCAGGGTCAAGTAAATGATGACGTTACAATGAGTTCCTGAAACAAACAAAGTCTCACCGCTGTCGTGTTTGAGCATCTCGTTTGGGATCATGGTAAATCCATCTCCACCCTTCACCATGTAGGAAGGCAGCACCACTTTATAAACCGTCTCATCCTCAACAGGCTCGTAGCGTGGAACACGACACTTTGTGCAGAGGATGCTGAGGCTCTTCACCAGATGCCCCTTAGGTTTGGAGAAGTCAAACTCCACATGAAATCCTGTCAGAGGACACAGAAATTTAATCAATACATGTCTGATAATCAAACTGAAATACCTTTGACGTACCAACTGAAATATCTCAGTAGCAGAATATCAAAGTCCGAAGGTAACGAAATACACTCTCCAGCACCTCTGACGTTTTCACAGAATTCTTTAATGGTGAACAAATGTAATCGATACAGAAAGTGTGTCATCTTCTACTACTGACAGATTGGAGTATTCTAATAAAAACAATATATATATAAAGGATGGAAACAATGTAAAAATAAAAAATACCGGACACTTGGAGGAACTCTCCGGTGCTCTGGCCGTATCGTCTCACTGAGTGTTCGAAGGCTTTAAACAGCGTGGAGCCCTTCAGCTGCACCAGGTCGAAGGTTCCTCCGAAAGGTAAGACGGAGATCAGGTCCTCCATGGTGATCGAACCTGCAGACGACACATCATAACTGTTTTACAAAGTTCCTCTGGCAGAAGGATCATCACAGGAACATGCAATCATATGTGTAGTGTAGTGTCAATTTGCAGGTTGTTTTCATGCGCTGTTCATATGCATACATACAAAAAGGAATGGACCACAATTTACAGATGACCCGCAAAATCTTGAGCCAATTATTCATATATAACCATCATATTTCAGAAGGGAGCAAAGAAGGAAGTAGTACATAAAGTGATAATCCTCATTAGAAGGCAGGTTGGGATGGTAGATGGAATCAAACAAACACAGGACTCTCCCCCACGAGACTGGAGTTTGTGTCCCAGGTGAAACCGAGTTATTTATTTTAAGATATATTGTCATGCAATCACATTACTCTTTGTATGTAACTCGGTGTCAGGTCATAACGTGACAATGCCCAAACATGATTCTTTTCCTAAACCTAACTTACCTAACTTTCATTTCCTAACCTTAACCTATGTAGCTTTCATTTCCTACACCTAACCTACATAACTTCACTTTCCTAACCTAATCTATGTAACTTTCATTTCCTAGCCCAACCTTTACGTTATGCAACTGTACATGAAGTTTGTACCATGACAACAACCAACCATGATTCTTTTCCTAAACCTAACTTACCTAGCTTTACGTTAAGAATGTAACTGTACATGAAGTCCGTTACATGACAACAACTGACCATGATTCTTTTTCATAAGATAACCTAACCGGTAGGATAATTCGTTAAATATCATCCGAGCTGTTATATGATGATACATTGCACTTTGAGGAAAGGTAATATAAAAAGATACATAAATGGATTTGAAGGACTTAAACAAGGTCAAATAGAAGATTACAATTAGAAAAAAATAGAACAAAACAGTTTAAACAGTGAGTAAAAATTACAATTCAAGTTAGGAATAAATAGTCCCAAACTAAAAATGCAGTGGCAAAAAAGTGTTAAGCCCTGATATAAGAAAAAAACACTCAGAGTCTGAGCAGACCTCAACTTTTGTTTGTTTAAGATATGTGGAACTGAACTCTACCTTTCCATGTTTAGTTTGAACTCTGGAGGCAGAGCTAACACAGACCATCTGAGAGGTCTGGATGCTTCATAAGGCAGCAGCAGATCAGAAATAAACTATTCAGCATTTTATAAACCAGCAGTAGTTTTTCAGAGTCAGGTCTTTGGCAAAGATCTGAGAACTGGACTGATGTGGTCTCTCCTGGTCTTACTGAGCTCTAAATCAGCTGCAGCTGATCCACTTTGTTAGAGAGGCCTGTATGTCCATGTGTACTGAAGATAACCACAGGACATGTTGTTCTAAATAATGCAGAGAGACAAGTTCTCATGTAATTGTTGAGAGGACAGAAAGTCATTTTCTTTCTCACACCAAAATCATCTCATATTATTTCCTGTCACTTTAGGGTTCTAATTTTAAAACACTTCTGACCATTCCTGGTGCGTTCGTCAATCGATGTGCGGATGCCTCCTCCATTGAAGATGCAGGCGCTGACGTGGTTCCACTGGAGATCATCAGAGGATCTGATGTTGTTGTCGATCTGAAAGATGAAGACCAGAAGCAGATTCCCTCAGTTACACATATGTATGTAAGGCACCATGCACAATAATTAAACATAAAACTTCATGTACCAGTGTACTTCATGTTTTCTGTACTGTCACTGTGTGGCTGCTACATCACACCTTCTTTTTAATGAGGAGCTGCTTAAATACAAGACACAAACCTTTTAGGTGACAGACATGCCCGACCAGTGTAGACCCTCTGTTTTTTCAATGGAATATTCCTTTACCTCCTTAATGCCTCATTATTAAATACTTACCATGGCATCACAGATAAGGTTTCCCAGGTTGCACTCCTGAAATCGACACTCCTCAGTTGTCCCGTTCAGGAAGACCAGAGTCCTTCCCACCACCTGAGCCGAGTAGCTGCTCAGATTCTTTTTCCATTCCTCCACATCGGCAAGAATTTCTGGATCTGGAGAAGATGTTTACTTTCAGTAGGAGTTGAGGTGATAACTCACAGTGTTTTTGTATATTATTAAAAGTCTTTCATACTTCCTGTCACCACTCCTAGTTACTCTAAACACATTCTGTCTGATTTGGAGCTTTTCATATTTACAATATAACCAGCACATTCTCATTCCCAGGTTTTTGAAATACTGATGCTTTCTCACGCCCCTTAGGGTGTGATATTGACGGCAAAGGCACCCTTTGGCATCTTTATGAGACTCTCTGGGCTTTCAGCTCCGATGTAATCCCATTCATGGCAATACTTGACGCTGAGAGCAACTTATGTAGTATAAAGAGGGAGAAACTGCCAGTATGGTGGGAGGGAGGGGAGGCCGGACTTTCACCCAGGAGACTGCAGTTCATATCTCTTGAGAAACCAAAAGTTGCTGCTGGTTTAACGTAACATTATTTTGTTGCACTCTGACGTCACCTAATGTTACGTAACAAACATTCTTATTTGAACCCAAAACCTGATTTTTTTTGGCAAGTAGTTTTGTTGCCTAGACCGAACCACGACCATTTCACAACATTAACCACACTTCACAATGTATTTTAGCTGTGCGTCACATAGGGACGCTAAAGAGTATGTCAAAGTGTCGGTATTTCTGTAACACTTTCAACACAGCTCAATGCTGCAGCAACACAAGGTTATTACAAAAAGAGAGATTATCTCTGAATCCATGTAAATCTGTTTAATAAACACTGTGAAGGAGCTCGTCGTCTCATATTGAATCAAATTCACCTCGCAGACAAAAAATTCAACAATAATCATCAGACCAGCAGTGTTGTTCTGTACCTTCAATCCTCATATAGGAATCAAACAAGAGTCTCAATTTAACATCTTCTTAATATTTGCTGTCAGTCTGACATGATAAGATAAATCACATAATTCTCAAATAAATGATGAATTTGACGAAAAAATGATAAAACTCCATTAGTAATGCAGCCTGAGTCTTCTTCCTTTAGATCAATATTTACTCCCAGTGAGCAATTACAGACCGTTCACATGTCTGTGTAGTTTAACAGATGGATGGAGACAGCAGTGTTATATATTTTATGTCTGAAAGGGGTTTTTGAAAAGCATTTCTTCTTCTTATAACATAAAAAAATCAGTTAAAGATAAAGAGAGTGAAAACAACATAAACAAAGTCACACTTAGACAAAAGCAAAATGTAGTGTTTTGTCTTTACCCTGTGGAACGCTGCTGTTCAGCAGGATTGGGTTTCCTGTCGACGTCAGCACGTTCCCAGCTTTATCAAAGGTCATCTTCAGATAACCCAGATATTTTCCAAAAGCGTAGGCCTGTACAACAGGAACCTGCCGCCCGTCATCTGACTTCACCATAAACGGATAACGACCTGCAGGGACTTCAGAGGAAGGAGGGGGTCCTGAAAAACAAAATGTGGAGAGAAAGAAAGACAGATTAGAAGTTTTAGTTTTAATTCATTATAGATCAACCCGTTGATTCTTTTTTTTTTTCTTTTTTTCTTAATTGTAAAATGGGCTCTTTTAAAGTCATATTTTGTCGACTAACAGAAGAGAGGAAACTGATATTCTGTAAAACATCCTCAGGTGATGTCAGCAAAATGCTAAGCTGGCAAAACAAATATCCAAGTTCCTGAATCAAGAATCAAACCAGCTGGTGCAGACTCACCCGAATTAAAGCTTATTTGACCGTAAAAATGTCTTGGGACAAAAAACACCTGGTGGCCAAAATGGCAGCACAGAGTATTCTGTACTGCCATTTTCAAATAATAGCCTGGGCTATTATTTGCTTACATCACTGAAATCAACAGGCCTATATTAGAGACAGGCCTTTACTTTCTTTCACACAACACTGTTGCTCAGCAAAGATGGAAAATACAATCAAACTGTTTATTTAAACCAGTATGAATATTACTTGTATAAAAATTAGGCTTCAGATAATATATCAATTATGAATCATTGACATCGACAGCACATCAGAGAGAGAGTGAGAGTTACGGCATTCAAGGATTACGGCACCTAGCATACTGACACAATATCACTTTATCCTGTCAAAACAATATTCACAATTTGGATTCATTTTCACGAAAGACTCTTGATTCTTTTGATCTGAGGACCCTTATGGACTACAGAAATATAAATAATTTACAGGGTAATAGAGAAGTGCACAAATAATTTGAGGAAGCCAACAACCGAGTTTGATACATCCAGAGAACTTCTGTAAAAAAAAAAAGAACTACTTGGAAACCAGATTTGGAGTCTTATTTATAATCACTGCGTATGCACAAAACGGAGATGGTGAGGTGGAAGCCTGATTGTAGAAATTGTTGAATATTTTTTGGCACGCGCCATTTTTGGCTTTTGTCTATACGTACATTTCTAGTGTGGATCCTACACACTGTTTTGTAAATGAGAACCCAGGCCTCTAACTGAGACAGGCATTTATTTGTCAAAATGTGTCACCACAGCAGGCTAATAAAAGGGACTGGGTGTTTAATTGGGACTGGGTTTTTAATTTAAAGGTTTAAAGGTTTATGGTATGTGTTTTGATTGTGGCGTTTGAAACACACCATAAAACAGCAGGAAGTTAGTTATTGAAGTTTGGCACCAAATTACATGAAGAAAAATCATTAACTTATACTTTCCAGCGATATTATTATCTATGTCCATTGCGTATGAGTGTTCATAAGTCTACTCAGAGGTCACAGAAAGAAAAAATAACACTCCATATAACTCCTTAGAACTTGCCTGAGAATCATCACATTTTAAAGTGTTCTTCAGTATCAAAGTAATCCAGTGACTTGTCTGTTATCCATGGGAACACTGCAAACAGTGTTTAACACTTTAATGGTGCTGATTTTCCTAGAGCTAACTCACTGACCCCATGGAAACACTTCAACCCGGTTGTATTGAAGTTGATATCCTCTGGACAAAGTTTATAACTTATATATTGCTTTTTTGTTCTGGTTTAGTAGCTGCCAATTTTTTTCTTCACATTATTCTCAACAACTGCAGCATTCCTCGCTTCTAAATGGAAATGAATGGCGATAGGAGGATGAAGCCCAGGCTCTCTGCCATCACTTCAAAGGAGCCTCTGACCCCATCATTAAGTGTGCCTCACGACAACATTCCACCTCAACAGTGACTCAATGTGGACAGAAAAGCTGAGAAAATCTCACCCCTGTGGTCACGTCAACATTAAGCTCACTATGAATAACACTGAACTACATCACTTTAAATCTGATGACTTGACTGTGAGGAACACACTTTTTTTGGTCCTGCTTATGGGCATTAAGTCTGAAAACACAGGCGTTACAAATACTCTGTGTGACTGATCATCCAATGACGGCTTTTTAAAGAATGCTTTTAGAAGCTACTCACCGCTGGTTTAGAAATAATCATCTTACCCAGACCAGGGTGTGATCTCCTATTAAAGGCTTAAAGAGTGGTGTATGTGTTAAGTTCAAGGTTTGAACGTGCCATCATAGATACTGATTTTTTGAGTACAACATTTTGTACAAGCTGAACTGTAATACAAATGTTTAAACCACTGCCTGCATGTGTACATATTATCCTGTATTAGGAGGAAGTGGAAGCTTTTATTGTGAAGAAACAGGAAGCTTTGTTGTTTTTGCCACTGCATGTGTTGACTAACAGTATGTTTTAAGGTGCGTTTACTATGGTTGCAGCTGATGATTAATATCATGGGTCACTAGGAGTACCAACAGTTGGTCCAGGAGCTTCTCCTCAATGAGGCGTATTTAAGGATGAACTGGGGGCAGTTTGAAAACCTGCTATCTATCATCAGGCCATATAGCTCTGGGTATCCAGCAACCGCTACCACCAGTTTCTCCACCATTGTTTACTAACTGTAAACTAGTTGTCATGACCGCCACAGAAGACCTGCCTCTCAAATCATCCGTTTGAGCAATGCAGAAAAGGCGGAGATGGCGTGAAGCATTTTTCTGCTCTGAGTTGAAGTTTTTTCAACTCGAGGAGTTCAGAGCGCTCCAGCAAAAACGCCAGGTGCCTAGAGCCCAGAAATGCGAGGAGCATCGCAACGCAAAAAAACATGTCTGTGATAAATATGTAAAAGTTGATCATTTTGGTGCAGAGCTTTACATCAGTCCCACAGACAATATACTTAAAAACAGCGCCTGGAAGAAGATCAGCTCTGCACTCAGGATTGCAGGTAAATAGGCTATGATACGATGCTTATTAAGGTTGCTTAGCAACCTCAGATACAACCTGCTGGCTTAAAAAAAGGCACAAAATTAGCGCCCAGTGCCTGACCTCTTGTTTTCCAGGCGGTTAAAGTGTGCACGGCCCCATAAACAGCTCATTCTAAGGTGACGAAAACACAACAATTTTTATTTTCATTTTTATATACCATTTCTGCCAATCAATGCCCCTAAATCTTACACACTGGACCTTTAAGCGCAGTGGAGAATTGTAAAATCTGGTAGCACTATGGTGAGGTTCAGCCTCACCGCTCTCTCTAGAAGAAAACAATGGTTCACACCAACGATCACTGGGAAAGAGCCCTCTAGTCTGCCATCTCTGTTTGTCTGCCGCTAACTAACAAAAAATGGCAAAAAAAAAAACGATCTTTGAAAAACTTGCTGATGCCAAGTTCATGTTTTTTTTCTTCTGTCTGTTGGTTTGACTGATTTTTACAGCACTTAAATACATCACTGCCAGCTTCTCAGACACTCTCCCACTGTCCAAGCATTGACTAAGTGTTGGCCTGACAGTTACACACTCCCTGATCTCTGTTGCTTAAAAATATCTGTACTTTCCTGGAGTTTCTGCATCCTGAAGTCCAAACGGACAACTCTCTTCCTCTCTGTCTGCTCAGTGACCACTGAGTAAATAAAACACTACAGGGTTATTTATGGAGACCAGACGTGTCGACACCATGTTTACTCTACAGCTAACCACGAGTACAAAGACTCAAATTTTCCTCTCGTAGTACAGCTCACTGTGTTAAACATTGCAGGATAGTCAAATGAAACACTAACCAGCAGTGCAGGATCTCTCCTGAAGGACAATGTCTGCTCAGAAGAAAAACCCAAGAAGATTATGTCAGGAAAGTAAAAAGCTAACTAACAAAACTGGAAGTTTTTAGCACCACTAGCAGGCTGTACTGCTCATTAAGAAACTGAAAAGTTGGATAGATGAAAAGCCAGACACAACTTTGCCGTTCTCAGCAATAAAAGTTCAGTTTGTTCTGGAACTTACCATCGTCAGAAACACTGTTCAGGTCAGTGTCTGTCTTTTAAATCATAGCTGGAGATGTCAGGAATTTCTGATGATGTAACTTGGCATGGGCAGATTATTACATAATGGGTCCCTGGGCCCAGATATACAAAAGGCCCCACCACCTCTCTTACATAAGAGCAAGACTCACAGACTTTGTGATGCTTTGACTTCTTTTTTTTTTGGTAGTAATTTTATGTGTGGTCATTTTGCCTCTTTTGTAGTCGTTATGAATGTGTTGTGGGTTGGTTTGTTTTTCTTTGTAGTGATATGTTGTCTTTTTGGGTCATTTTGTGTCTCTCTGTAGGTATTTTGTTTCTATTTGAAGTAACTTTGTGTCTCTTTGTGGTATTTATGTCCTTTTTTGTCATTTCATATCTCTGAGACAATTGTGTGATTCTTTATAGTTGTTTTGTGTCTCTTGGGGGCAATTTTATGTCTTTTTTGTGGCCATTTTTGATTACTTATGTCTTTGTGGTTTGTTTTCTCCCTTTATTAGTTATTTTGTTTATCGTTGCAGTTCCTTTGCTTCTCTTTGTGGTCTTTTTGTGTCATTAATAATCTCCTCCTGATCTGTTCGTGTTACTTTGAGTGACATTTTGCAGGTGAAGGCCAAGAGGGGACACTATGGGCCCCTGGGTCTGTGCTCTGTAGGCCCGTACAGTAATCCTTCCATGACAAAAAGAGCCACCGAAGTGTCAAAAAATTGGTGACAAATTGGCAGTTACATCAAAATAAAATCAGACATTATCACATAGTTTGTTTGCATCTGTTTCTTGTTAACAAACCACACAACACAATGTTAATGATGTGACTACACTGTGGCAGTGAGGGAAATCGTCTTGAAATAATCAGGAAGGTCATAGGTTCCAGATTTTACTATGTGTGCGTAAATGCAGGATTAAACTCAGCTCAATGAGGGTGAAGTTTGCAGTCTGGACTCACTACAAAGACACCACATCACCATCAACAAACACATATCAGAGCCAGATGTTCCCCACCTGTATAGAGGAAAGTGTTGCTGTGTCCACCGATGACGACGTCGACTCCTCGGACCTTCTTGGCAATCTCCTGATCCACAGTGAAGCCTGAGTGACCCAGAGCGATGATCTTATTGACTCCCAGCATCTGCAGTTTGTCCACCTGCAGCTGCAGGGCCGTCACCTCGTCCTCGAACTTCAGGTGTGGTCCTGTAGAGGCATTGTGGACAGGTGAGAGGAACCACTGTTATGAAGTTTCCTTTTTTCTAACCACGGTAATTCCTCCCGATTCATATTGATTTTCTCTCTTTTACACAATTGACTGTGCAACTTTACCCATGATTTCAACCATAGTTTGGTTATAATTCTTCAGGCTCTCTTCTGACTGGCAAAAATTGGATTTCTTTTTGATTCAGCAGTTTCAACAGTGACTTTATCTCCTGAATTATGAACTCAGTTCTCTTTTGTTGGACTTTTTTGTGCTAAGTCTGCTTTAACCATAGCTGGGGGCACTTTAGAAACAAGCAGTCAGCCACATCTTATTATATATGCATTTGGCACAAGTAATTTTTAAAGAATCAGCATTGTTTCATTGTCCGCGTCCATCACAATCAAAGTGGGTAATTTATGCCAAAATATTACGTTTTTCTTAACCTTAACCAAGTGGTTTTTGTGCCTAAACATAACCATGTGTTAACCACAGCGTTGTTGATAAAACTGAAACAAGAAAAAACATACAGTTTCAACATATGTGAAACTACAGAAGCGTATTGCATTCACTTGACAAATAAAAAAAATCTGTTTTATTGAGTAATTTTTTTATTTTTCTGTTTTTCGTGGTAATTTTGTTTTGTTTTTCGGGGTAATTTTTTCTGTTTTTCTGAGTATTTTTTCTGAGTTAAGAGAGCAATAGAACTTACACCAAAAAACAGAAAAATTACTCAATAAAACAGATTTTTTTTTATTTGTCAAGTGAATGCAACACGCTTCCGTATAAAGCAAACAAATGAAACATATCCATGGTTTGTGGAAGCGTAGTCTACAATGCCAACATCTATTCTGGCGACTGGGTTGACATGTGCAGCTAACCGACAGCAGCCAAACTGATCAGTGTTCAGTTCTCAACATAAAGGTGGCTAGCAGCTAACAGTGCTAACTCCATAAGCAGCGCTAAACAACAGCGACAGTGCTGACAGAGCTAATGGTCTTAACAAGAGGGTAACCAGAAGGTGGGCGCTGCGCTTCTGCAACGATGTCCCAATATCAACAGTAACTGCTGTGTGAGTGCAGCACAAAGCAGCAGCTATGAGCTAGCCAGTGGATTACAAACATGCAAACACAACAAACCACAGAGAAGCTCAGATTATTGACACACAGAGGGAACATGACTTCATTCTCTCTCTTCTCAGGACACCATTACCCCGTATATATTTCCCTAGCAAATAGTGGTTTGCTGCTATATTAATGCTCTGAATGTTGCATACAGAAGCCTTCATTAAAAATATGCTAAATCTTGGCCCGGTTGTAGGTGCTAAGCTAGTGTTAGCAGCTTACATCAGAGCAGAAAACACAATGTTTAATCCATTACTTACTTTTGCTGTTGGGTTAAAAGTCTTTGGAAAGGTAAAAAAGGACATCAACCTCATAGAGTGTCTTTCTTATTATAGCTCCACGACAACGTTTCAACAACTTTAAACAAATTAATAAGAAGCTGGGACTCAGTTGCAGAGAAAGGCACTGAACACCGAAAACAGTTTATCAGATCCAAATCTTTACTTAGATCAGGAGTCAAACATGTGAAAGCAGTCAGCAAAGGCAGAAAATTCCGTTCAGGGAAATCACACAAAGAAAAAAAGTCTGTAAATCCAAGCAGAGTCAAAAGCCAGGGAATCAAACACGAGGAAAAGGCTTGAGACAATGACCCCACTATGGCCACAATGACAATCTGGTGACTGAATGGGGGAAACATTGGGCTTTAAATACACAAGGGCTGATAACACTACACACACAGGAACTACGCACAAGTGAGTGAAACAAGACACAGGTGAAACATATGAGATCATCGACAAAGGTTGAAAAACTCAGGAAACAAAAGAATCACTAAACACAAGGAGAACCCTTTTCAGATAAAACAGGAACTGGACAGAAACACATAAAGATGAACTTTGACTGCAAATATCAGCGTCCTGTATTGAGAGGCCCTCAGATCTTTTAAGCAGTTATTCCACTAGTAAAGCACTGATTCTAGTTAGGTATCACACAACTGCTAATAATGTTCTTGCATCTTTTGGTTCCTTCCTCTGGGAATTCCCTGCCTCTTTTTAAGTTTTGCAGGGATTTTTCCTGATGGAAGTTTTCTCAGGAAATCACTCCCAAAGACTTTTTTGTAAACATACCAAACATTTTCACTTGTCATGACAGCTGGACAGGAAACAGTGTATACTACACTAATGTAGGCAATGAGAGGAGAAAGTGAGTACACCATGATCTTGTTTACAGTGTGGAGAACTCCAGATGAGCAGGGGACAGAGTTAGAAGCAAACAGAGAAACCCCAGACAGAAAACTTCCTCTTCCACTCACCAGGTTTGGACAGATCAGGAGTTTCCCGCGATGTATATCCCACCACGCCCACCTTCTCACCACCAACATTAAGGATCTTATAGGGTAAATAAGAGTTGCCGAACGTCGGGGCCAAAGTTTTGTCTGGTTTGATGTTGGCGCTGAGAACTGGACACTTGATCTGCTCCATGAATGGTTTCATGAGTCCTTCCACTCCATTGTCAAACTCATGATTTCCAAAAGCCTGAAAAATAAAAAGGAAATTTAAATTAGAACTGCAGACAGAGATTCAGAGCTGCTCTCACTGATATCAGATGGAAGTGTACACATGTGTAGACATACTGTATACGACAAGTTTCAACGTCCTTGTTAAGTAAAATCGCATACTGATTAGTCTCTTTAGATTCTGAAATGAAATGAATGGAGGAAGTATTCAGATGCTTTACTCAAGTGAAAGTAGATATACCACACTCTAAAAATACTCCATTACAAGTGATAAAAGTCCAGAATTTAAAACATTACTTAGGTAGAAGTACTTAAGTATCATCAGCATAACATACTTAATCTATCAAAGTAAAACTACTCATCACGCAGAATGGCTGCTGTCAAAGTGTTATATTATTTTAGAATTTTTTTATATTGTTATTCTGTTTCCATTGATGACTAATGCATGTAAGGGCATTTTAACGTTGTGGTTCATCATGGGGAGCCAAGTTTAGATACTTTTGTACTACTGGGTAGAATACTAGTATAAAACAGCATTATATTGATATGTTTATTTATGTAAATGGTACAATATTTCCCTTTGAGATGTAGTGAAGTAGAAGTACAAAGCAGTATAAAATGGAAATACTTAAGTTAAGTACAAATATTTCAAAATTGTTCTTAAACACAGTACTTGAGTAAATGTACTTAGATACTTTCAACCACTGATGACATCATATAGAATTACTTGGTTACTCAACCATAAACACGTAAATAGCCAGTGATGTGTTATACTGTTTATCTATGGTAAAAATTGTATAAAGGTAAAGTAAACAGTGGTAGGACTGTGGCCGAAGCTTACTTTTTGGGCAGTGTTCCACAGTGATGTTTCTCTGCTCACACATACTCACATATATCAGTTTTCTCTTGACTTGTTGCGCTACAATTCAGCAGACTTTATCACACAGTCAGCCTCAGCACTGATAACAAGCAGTCTAACAAATTGTGACCGAGATTTTATCACAGGGATGGCTGTTATCACAGTGTTTGAGGCCTTTGATTATCCTGTGACCTCACTGATTAGTTCCCAACACTCATGGCTCATGGGTGGGTTATGAGCCGATGGGCGCCCTGGGCACAGATATGCAAAAGGCCCCATCACCTCTTTCTCACATGAGCACGACACACAAGATTTATAGTTGTTTAGCTTCTTTTTGTTTTTGTTATGCATCTCTTTTAAGTCTCTCTATGGTTTTGTGTCTCTCTGTGGTCATTTTGCCCCTTTGTGTTGTTATTTTGTGTCTCTTTTGCAGTTCTTTTGCATCTCTTTGTGGTCACTATGAGTCTTCTTTTTCGGTACATGCAAACTTGTGTGACATTTTACAGCCCAGGTTAAGAACTTACAGTGCATATTTCAAAGGAAGAAAAACTTAAATACTTTCAACAAAACATAAATAACGCAATTAGACACACAATCGTTTTCTCTAACATGAACACTGGGAATCTTACACATTTTTAGATGTCAGAACACTACTTCTCCTCTGTTAATTATTTCTTATTTGAAAATCCGATTGAAAGAACAACATTGTGCGACAATATAACAAAGGGTGGAGCACAGGTTAGACAGAAATCTGTTTTAATTGGATGATCCACTGACCTTTGACCTCACTTATCTTAGTGGCAAGAGACAAGAGATTCTCACATTGCTGATCAGTCAGGTTATCGCTTCAGTCCTTTAAGTACAACAACACGGAGCAGGTTAGTCATAGTTTACTTAAATTCTGGAGTGTTTCCTCCTGTACTTCAATTTGTTTGAATCTGAATGAACAATCTAACATCCTCATCCAAAGAGCTGTGCAGTGGCTCATTAAAGAGAAGGAATTTAAATTAAAACCAGTTACAGGAAACCAAACTGTAAGTGTTTCCGGATAAAAGAAAATGGATGTTGACATCCGACAGCCAGCAGCTGCAGACGTGAAAAGGACAGAATTTAATGAGAGGAAACTGAAGTCTGGTCGCCATGTGACCCACAATGGTTGACCGCTCTTCAGTCAGTTGATCTGATTCCGAAACGCGGCTCCTTTTAGGGAATAAGATCTCTGATACTTCACTAAATATGCCACACACCGCAAATCACACAAGTGAGATGATTTTGTTTTAGAAGTAATAGTCAAGTAACGGATACAGGTAGTTGTTTCCCAGTAAGCATTAATTTGATGATTTGCAGGTCAAAAGACAACTATGCGTTCGGTTTAAAACTAGTCCACATAAGAGCCCTGCGCGGGACTGTTTCTTCATCCTGCTCCTGCCCGCTCCCGCTGAATTTCTGACCATTACTGCCCGCAACCGCAACATGTGTTACATTCCCGCCCGCACCCGCAATGTGTATGTCCACTCCCGCCCGCTCCCACAAAACTCTGAGAATTTATGCCCACACAATAATAGAGATGCATTGATTTTGTGTGTTCTCCTGTCCCACAGGAGAAAACACGTCATTTTATAGGCTATTAATAAAGAGATTCATGGGGTTTTTTGTTTTGTTTCCCTGGCCTGCATGTCTTTTGACGCACTGGTCAGGAATAGCGCTCCTATTTCATTGTTTTCATTTAGTTTTTAATAAAACAAAGGCTGTTTCATATTCTATTCTCCTCCTCTGTATTTTATTTATTTTTCTACTTTTATATAATCACGCAGTGATTGAGGTTAAGGTCTCTTTTCTAAGAGAGACCTGAATAAGAAACATTAATGAGATAAAGATAAAGCCTATGCTCAATAACACCGGCATCATCACGCCTCTTTATGTAATTAACAAATAGCAACGAGAGTAGGCTGTGAGTGGCTCAAATAACACTAATAAATAACATAAAATAAACAAAGTTAACGAATGAAATGAATGAATTTAACAAATGAATCACTTGGCCATAATATTGCTGTGGAGGAAGAGAATGTTGCTGACCAACTGCGGTCCCAATCCCGTGCGTCTCTCTTCCAAGATGCACCCACAGACACTAAAGGCCCGCTCTGAAGGCACACTGGATGCGGAGATACTGAAGATGAAATGCGCCAGCTTTGAGAGTGCTGGGAAGTAGAGAGCTCAGTGCGCCTTCAGACCTTGCTTGAGCTTCTTTTCCACCTCATTTGTTAACTTCATTCTGTCGCTATAGGCTACATCCCAATCCCGCAGTGTTTTTTTTTAGCTGCCTGTTCCTGCCCGCAGCAAAGTTCAAACCCCCCGCTCCCGCAAGATTTGGGTTGGGTCCCGCGGGACCCGGCGGGACCCAATCCCAATGCAGCCCTCTAGACCACATCTAGTTAAAATGTGAAAGTTCTTAGACATCAAGGTTACATATAACTGCTGCTTCAACAAGTTAAATGTATATTTCTAAGTGAAATGGGTTCTGACATGTAGTCGCACAATTTTCTATCAAATTTAGCCCAGGTTGAACATAGACGTCTTTTGACCTGCTAACCACGTTGTCAGTAATGCTGGTATATAAGATAACAACACTTTGTTTGCATGATTGTGGTAATTTTTAAAATATATCAACTGGATATCTTAAGTGTTATATCGTAGATAACTGGACTTGAGAAACTCAAGCAAGTCCAGTCCAGTTGCCTACAATATAGCACTTAAGATTACCATGACCTGAATGACTGAGAATCTTCACCAACATCGACTTGATATATTCACATCTATGCAGATGATACACAACTTTCACATTCCCAAAATTTTCTCCTTAAATTTGACACAATCTATTTTTTGACAACCAGGTGTCCAAAGCAGTACAGTCATGCTGCATTCAACTAAGGACATCAGCTAAAGTTAAACCTTTTTTAGCAACTGCAGATCTTGAGAATGTGGTTCATTTACCATAATCCTCTTTACTCCATCCCAAACCATTGAGTTTTTTACTGACTTCCAGCTCATTCAAAATGCTTCTCAATCAGTCCTACAGGTGTTACGACTGTCCAAATCTATCATTTGAATTAATTTGTGATTCAGTTTTTGATTTAAACCTTTTTTCCAACACTGAAGGGGTTTTCATAAGAAGGATAGACTATATCCTGGTATCAAGTGTGATAACTGCCATACTTTCTTGGAATGTACACTGAGGCCTTTTGGTCAAAATTAAATAATTTATCTAAAATGTAATGTCAAGAACTTATTTAAACAGTCAATTGAAAACAAAAAGACGAGCCATTAGATTTTAGGAGGGTACTTTACAACAACAGCTTGAGTTTCCTCGCTTCACATTCACTTGCACTTCAGGACCATACCCTACAATTTTTATTTATTTATTTTTTTTGGTCAAAGATTCATATGGCCTTTACATAACTCACAGTGAAGCAAAATGTTGACTTTGATTACGAGGATTTTCCAGTTTTGTTGTTTGTCCGTCATCTCAGACATCAACAGAGGCCAGGGTGTCTGGAAAAGTGCTGCTGCAGGCTACCGGAAAACTACACTGTGTCATCTTCTTTAAGTGTTCTTTATTTTTTCTCTGGCCACACAAAAGTAAGCAAGTGGTGGAGAGGATCGTCGATCTTGCTTTTGATTCTGATTATAACTGAAAGCTCAGTTCAATCCAGTTTTGATTTAACATGAAATCATGAAAACCCCTACTAGCTCCAATTCTTTGTGTCTTTGCACTGGCTCCATGTGAGTTTCACTTTTAAAAACTTATATTAGAAGACCATACCTTAAATTTTAACCTGTCAAGGTTATATATGTTATATGCTCCTCATTATTTTATTGTTGTATTATGTTTTTAAAAACTGTACTGGCAGCCTCGTTGTAGCACATTGCAATGTTTACTTGTTGTTTGTAGCTCTGTTTAGAAAAGTGCTACATAAATGAAACTTATATTCTCTTGAAGAAACTTCTGTTTTGTGTGCATATTTCTTTAAGTCATTTATGTGTTTAAAATTTGTGAATACCTTGCTTAATTTGCTCATGTGTTATTCATTTGCAGCATTTATTTTCAAAAAATGTTGACAAATGTTTTCCTCGTTTGCTTTTCTGAAGTTGCATACCCAGTTGTGTTGACCTCACTGGGCCACCGTACATGAGTCATGTTTTACACATACAGAATTTAAAACATCTCTTTTTCAGCTAAAACTCCTCTGCAGGAAACAGCTCAGAATAAATCTCCATCAAGTTTTAAAATGGTACAGAGATTAAAGGCACATGGAGCAGAACGCTGATCTATTAAAATGTTTCTCTCTAAGTGGATGCTGTTAAGCTGATTAAAACCATCTAAGGCCTTCAGACCTCAATCAATAGATCAAAGTCAGCCTTTACTGGGGAGAGTCCGATTCGTCTGCTCAACTGAGACCTTTTTATTTCTACTTTTGATGGATTTACTTTTGTTTAACTGTAAATCAATCAATCAAAAAAATCAACCAAGTATCTAATTTCAATACAAGAACACTGTGGTGATCCTTTCACAGCAGATAAACAGTAACACCAGGGTTACAATTATCACTGTCACCAACAAACTACAGGCTCTCATTGTTATAATTAAGAGTACTGTAATAATGTAACAGTATTATCATACATAACAGCAGAAATAAAGTAAGCACATTTAAAGCCCCTACAAGGAACTTTCATTTTGAGTTGATTTTGGCGACCCTGTGGACAAAAGCGGTAGTGTTTTGCCAGAATGAAACCTACATTTCCCATGAGCTCTAGCGCGTATTATCGTAAAGACGCTTACCTGGCTCGCGCATGTGTTTGTTTTGGGGATGAATGAAACAACAAGACGGGAAAACTTTGCCCCCGCTCCTATCGGGGATCCCAGCTCACCTCTGCCGAGCCCCAGCTCCACCTCTCCGGAGTAAGCACCACAACCGACGGGGTAAACACAGAAGTCGGCTGGTAAGGATGAAAGCCTGTTTGGCGAGCACTTCCACAGCTTCTTGGACTGAGTATGGAGCGGTGCCTCGCCTCTTTATTTCTCGGCACTCGCTGGACCCTGTCGACGCCTGGCTGGTACCTGTCGTCGGCGAACAAAACGTTTATCCTGAAGGATTTCCTGACTTCCCGAGGATTGGATTTTCTCTGTGTGACTGAGACGTGGCTGACTGTTGGTGAGTCCAGTGCTTTCACAGAACTTTAACCCGATGATTGCTGCTATTTTAACTCCCCGCGGACGTCGGGTCGAGGAGGAGGAATAGCGACTATTTATAAGAGTCACTAAATGTAAGCAGCTAGGTAAGATGACGTGTGCCGTCTGAGTGCCGTAAATCGTTTTGTCCTGGAAGCGACCTGGGGCGGACCCGGGCACAGTTTCCTAAAGGTATGGATATACACTATATAGAAATAGCTTATCTTCACACCGATAGTCTCATTTGCTGTTGTGGGTCACGCACAGACATCAGCAGAAACGAGAGACTTTTGCATATCCAGTTAAAAGTTTCTTGTAGTGGCTTTAAAATAGCTCTGTCCTTAAGTACAGTTTTCACAGATTTTTTCTTTACTTGAGTATTTCTATTTCCTGATTCTTAACACTTTTACTTAGTTATCTGACAGCTACTTTGCAGATTTAGATTTACATACAAAATATGATTTTTTAAAATAAAGTATGATCCATAGGATTCAATATTATGCATGCTTATGCATCAGTAGTTTCATGAAACAATGATGAGTACTTTAACTGATACCTTATATGCTGAAAATTGGGTTTTTTTTTTACTGGTAACAGCATAGGCACAGATTTCCAGGGGACACGCGCCCCTCAATATATAGAACATGTGCATTTGTCCCCCCCTTAATAAAAACAAGTAGCAGAGGACGTTTGTTTTGCCAAACATAACCATTTACACCATACACTGATGATGAACTGAAAGGAACAAATTGATGTGTAAAAATTCACCAGAATGGAAAAAAATTTAATGTTTGATGCTCAAAATGTTCTGGCGGGGGACCCCTAAATTCCCCATTTCATATGTGTCCTCCTCAGTAATGAAATGAAACCTACATCCTTGGGTGACAGAGTATTTATATAGTATAAAGTATTTTGATTGGCTACTTTTACTTAAGAAAAAATCTGAAGACTTCCTTACTACTGGAAATTAAACACATTTCAGTATAGTTATGGTTGGAATACAAGAAATGTATAATGCAAATTCCTAATAGAATCTATCTATCTATCTATGTATCAATGCGCAACATCACTTTAAAATCACAACTTTCTGATTAGACATACAGCTGAGCAGTCTGCAGTTGTTATTAATAACTGCATTAACTTAACTTATTAACTTCTCTGAGTTTCTCACCATGGCATCATAACGCAGTTTGTTCATGAAGTGAGCAGCCTCGGCTCCCTTGTAGTAGTTAAACCAGACGGTCCCCTGGAACTGGTCTCCAGCGTCCAGCAGCAGCACGTTGCTCTCGCTGCTGCGGATCCCCTTGATCACCGTGGCTCTCCGGGCCACCCCGGCGAAACACCCGCTGCCGCCACATTTCCCGGAGTGCTTGCTGGTCTCCTCCACCCGGGCGTGTACATCGTTGGTGTGGAGCAGAACCAGGTCCCAGGCCGCGGAGGTGGACACGGAGAAGCCAAGGAGAAGGAGGACGAGGAGGAGGAGGCAGTGCAGCGGCAGAGCGCTCCGCTCCGGGCGCACCGCTCCCATCTCTCCGCGGTCCGCGCGCAAAAACACTGGAGGAGGAAACCGGGATGGTGGCTGTTTTTTTTCTCACATGACCCGCAGGAATCCTCTCTGCCTTCCTTTTATGTGCTCCTAGGCTTGCTATAAAGTCTTAATTAAATAAGTCCCGCTGACACTACATGCTGGGCAGACTGAGTGCGCGTCAGGAGGGACTCCGGGAAAAAGAGGAGGAGGAGGAGGGTATCAGGGAGGAATCTGGTTGTTATGATACGCCTCTTCCCCGATGTCCCTCCGATGTCCCTTGACTTTTTCACACATTTGTTAACTACATTTGATTACACTTTGAATGGAAGCTGTGCGCACAGTGTGAAGAGAATCTGCTTTAAGGGAAGTTTTATTCAGCCTATAGACAAGATAAATACAAGGCAATACAAAACTAGACATGTAGGCCTATAGAATAAAATATCCTCACACACCATGAATGTACATCTGGAGGTGGAAGAGATTTCTTTCTCATATTAATTCTAATAAAACTACATAAAGTTTGGTAGGAGACACCAGCCAGAGACAGAGACACCTGTGAAAGGTTGCTTGCTGACAAAAACATGTAGGCTGTATCAATTTAAAAGCACTGTGAATACTAATCACTGTGAAGATTCTTATAAAGGTGCCAAATAAGATGCATTTCTACATGCTATTCATTAATGGCACATTATTGTAGTGCACCACCAGTGTCTCTCTCCCACTGCCATGCCAATAAAGTTGACAAGCTCAAATGTAATTGAAAGCGAGAGAGCTGAAGACAGAGAGCTGCAGCTGCTGGTTTCCATCCATTTCACTGTTATGAGAAAATCTGTTTATAGAGACTTTAGAGAGAAATTAGGTTGAATGAGGAAATCCATCACAGCTAACATCATTCCTGTCTTTTTTGGGAAAAAGACTTCACACCCTTAAATCAGTTTGAATACTCAGTTTTGTTTTTCAGTTTCCATGTTCAGCACAGGGCATCTTCATTGTGTAACAGTTATTTGGCTGGGAGGTCCCCAGACGATAAACCCTAATGTCTTTTTCCTCTGGGACCACCTCCGTTAACACTTGCTGTTTTAAATGACCAACAATTATTTGATGGATTGCCTTGAAAATGTAGTTCAGACATTTATGTTTCCTTCAGGATAAATTGTAATATCTTTGATGATCCTATCTCTATCATCAGGTCAACATTTTAATATGTCCAATACTAGTACTCTTCACACTCCCATCAGTCTCAGCTCTACTCTGTGTTTACTGCTAATTGGCAAATGTTAGCATGTTAACACGCTAAACAATAGGGAAAATGCTAGCATGCTAATGTTTAGCAGGAAATATTTTTCAGATTCACCATGAGCATGTCAGCATTTAGCATTTTCAACCGCTTATCCAAAGCTGGGTCGTAGTATCAGTGAGAAAGGATAAGGAGAGAGAAACTGTCTGTGGCCACCACATGTAAAACCATTCCCTTTTTGGGGGTTGTCTTGCTTTTGCCTCTTCATTGCACCTGTTGTTACCAGGGGCGGACTGGCCATCTGGAGGCTCTGGAGAATCACAGAATGGCCGGTACTCCAGGACGGCCGGCGGTCGCCATGCAGTCATCACTGTTTTTTTTGTGGTTTTTTTTTCCTTGTTCTCCCTGATAATCTACTGTTCCATGTCCAGTCCGCTAGGTTGCAGCCTTTAAATTGGATGCCAGCCGGCCCATAGATATCTATGAGCCAGCCGGCCGCCAATCAAATTGAAGAAGAAAGAAGCGCATACCGTATGCGCACTGGTTGTTGTGGGCTGGGCCGAGTCAAAGTCCAGGGTTGTTTTTAGTCCCAGTCCGCTGAAACTGATTCACAGTCACTTGTGCTTCTTAAATGGACAGATTGATATCCCTGAAGTTTAACTGACTTGGTGTTATACTGTGACCATTAAGTGTTCCCTTTAATTCTTTTGAGCAGTGTAGTAATAATCTGTTGTTTGTCTCACATTTATCTTCAGAGAGGGGGACCCCGTCTCGGACCGCCACTGCTAGCATCCATCACAGTCTGGTTTAGATCAGATAATGTATTGCACTTATATAGTGTATTATGTGTTGTACAATAGCATGCACATAATATCCACTGAGAGTCAAACCAGTCAGAGCAGACTGTGTAGCCTATATTCTGGATATATTGCATCCATCAATAGACCTACATAAACAACCTACTGTACATTAAGTAAGTTACTCTATGCTCTGTGATATTTCTAACCTCAGATATTAAGTTTACAGAGCACTTTGACTTGTAATTACATCTACCTGAAAATAAAGACAGCTATGACGTACACTGGAGTGGATTACATAACTTTGTCAGGTTGAAACCTGAAAATGAAAGGAAACCTGAGGCAGCCTGGAAGGAAGGAAACAGAAGACACACCTTATTAAAGCTTTGCAGTCAGTTGGCCAGAACAAAACAGCAGCAATATGGCCCTTCATGTTATATTTGGTCCTTCATCATCACACACCTGTCCTATCTGACGTGTCTTTACTTATCGAAACACGTTTATCAGTAGCTTACGTACATCACAATAAACCTCAGACACCTGATAAAGCAACAAGTGCAGGAAAGTTGTTTGGGAGTTAACACAAAGCATTCATGGAGTGTATCGGATCACTTTCACACCCCAAACCTTTCACCACACTCCCTCTGTATTCGTCTGTGTTTCAGAGTGTGAATGCATTTATCTGTAAGAGTATTCATGTGTGTCTACTTGCTTGCTTTCTGACTAGTGTGTTTCTTGTGTCTCCTTACAATCATGCCTATTTTCTACTGATTTGCAACAGGAAATCTGTTTAGAAAGAAATGCAATGGCTCTGCAATTACATTTTTTATCTACATAATGAGGAAGCCTTCCTAATGAACAGGACAGAACAGTCACAGTCGGCATATGTCATTTGCTTCCTGATAATAGCTTTGTACGGCCACTATCCACCCTGCCATCCTGTGTGGAACAAGATCTGTAAAAAACACGTTGCCAGTGATCGTAATCTAGGAAGCAATTACATTTCCTCCAAAACAGGTTTGGCAGCACTATTTGGCAGCATATAAATTTTTTAGGAGATGATCACAGAGTGGTGATTTACATGTTACACAAACTGCTCAGTATCAAGACACGTAACTCATGATCCAGTGTGATATTTGTGATGAGAATATACCATGATCCTACTGGACTGGCTGACAGTAAAGGTTTCTGTTTGTCATCACACTGCTGTCTGTAGCTGACATTTAAGTGACCCGCACTGCTGCAGAGCACTGGTCCAGGGTGTTACACACTCCCACACAAACCAAACACAGCCAACCCAAGCAGACGTCATCATGGAAACAGACTGCAGACCGTCTCGTGGTTTCAGCCTTCAGAATGCACGCTTCAGAGCAGAACCACTTTGATTACAGTCTGGTATGTTAACAGCGGGTCAGGTATATTTATGATGGTGTTGACAAAGAGCCACACTCTCTTTCCTTAGAGCCTTAACTCTTACCAGAAAAGAAAAGAGCAGCAGGGGAGGGATCCTTCTTCTAGGACAGACAGGCAGGCAGTGGGTGTAGTATGTACAGAGGAGTACACCAAGATGGTTCCATGTGATTCACTACAGAGCTGAGGCCAGTGACCACGTGAACATGTTTGACTTATAGCTCAGACTATAGACACAAGAACCAGACTGATAAATTGGTCCTAACAGTATGAGAGGAATTGCATTTGTCAGGCCATCAACAACATAGAACTGCAGTACAGTATAGATGTGTCAATAGTTCAACTGTAAAATGTTCCCTCAGCTCAGTCACCATTATTAAATTATTCAAGGCATCGTCATCAAAAATGTGTTTATGTAAAAACAAAAAAAAAAAACCCAATAAGCCCAGAACAAGTCTTTGTGCTATTTTCTTATCACCTCCTGCTCTTACTTAAATAAATAACCTTGCCTAGTACTAATTAAATCCATCTACAGACAGGCACCTCTTTACAATAATCTCATGGCCGTTTGTTATAATGATCTCTCACACATGATCTCATGATTATGTATACAGCATTTATATATAGATCTGTATCTGTATGAAGATGCAAAATAAACACTTCTAAGCATCATTAAAATAACCCTAAAGTATTGTGCAGGCTTGATGAAGATGTGAGTTCTGAAGACTTTCCAGTGTTTCTACTTAATTATTTTTGCACTTACTGTCACATAATTAAGTCGATACAATAAATGTGAAAATATCTATTTTTCCACCCTTGTTTAGTCCAATACATTCTCACACCTGCCTCGTCACATATCGTCGCTTGGTTGTAGACTTTCCATGTTGACATGTGATGAGCAAGGCAGCCTGGGCGCATCTGTTGTTGTCGACGTTTCCGGATGCTGTTTCAACTTCACCTTGTTACATGCATTGTGTCTTTTCAAAATACACTTCTGTTTTCACAGGAAATGAAGAGTTTGTATATTGTTTCTTTCAAAATAAATGTTCTACAATGTGAAATTATGTTTTTTTTTACCTTCAACAAAACATGCATGTGGTTAGGTTTAGGAAACAAAAGCACTGAACCGCTAAAAGGGTTTGCCTTTACATTCATACTGGAAGCGAACACCAGCCTCCTGGTGAAAGTTGGTGATTGTTGGACCCATCCACCAGCTCTCCTACCCACCCTGCTTGGAATTTTCAGCCCCTTAATTGTTAATGTTATCCTTCAGCAATTCCCCCTGATGCTGTCGGGCGTCGCTACACACTGATGGTGCCGAGCCATGTGTCATGTCGACATGAAAGGACAGCTTTTTTTGTCTGTGTCTGACACAGATGTCCCTGCACCAGTATTTAATGGCTTCGGAATGAGACCAGGTTGTTTGGTCAGATTTTGGGATGACGTGTAGTGGCGCCCCCAAGGGCGGTGGCAGGGGCCATGGCCCCCTGAAGAATTGCTGGCCACCCTACTGGCTCCCCCAACAAAAATAATTGGAGGTGGACATTGCTGTTTTTAAAAAGCTGTGGCACACTCATTTTTTAAAATAGCGCAAACATAGTTGGCAAAGCATGTTGGAAGGGGGCTAAACAAAGCTCCGAAGTTGGGCTAAATTTGGTAAACAACTAGTGTGGCCATTTTCAAAGGGATCCCGTGAACTCTCACCTCAAGATATCTGAATGAAAATGGGTTCTACAGGTACTT